TAAGGACTTGTTCCCTCTTTTGAGCTACTGCTTCCATAGGTGTAGGTCAAGTTCATCAAATTGTATGAGAATACTTTTTTTTTCTCCCTCTTCTTTTTCTGGTTGAGCTCTGATCATCCAGTCATTGAAGCCAGGGCAAGCGGGTATTATCTGCATGTGTGGGTGTTCTTGTGCATATGCCCTCTCTTCTTATCAGCTGGATGCTTCACTCTCCACTCTAGTCCTCTGTGGCTGTGCCATTGACTCTGGGCCCAAGATTTCCCAGGTCTTGCCACACTGCTGGCCAACCAGGTCTTCACCTAGGTTCACAGAAGTCTATTGAACGTTGTAGGGCTTAGCTCACCACTTCATTGCTGTTTTTCCCTCACTTCCCCTTATTGGTGTCGATCGTGGTCACCAATCACAGCGTGTATTCCCATTGAGTCTTAGTCTTGGAAGGGGGTTTGCACTGAGGGGACCTGACCACTTGCCTTGATGTGTCGTGGGTGGCCCATAGACTTTCAAAGGCTATAATCTTTATGGATGCAGACTGCCATATTTTCTCTTGTGGAGCAGCTGGTGAAATCAAACCACTGATCCTTTGGTTAGAAGCCAAATTCTTGATCACTGCATTACTAGGGCTCTTTTTTGAAAGTACAAGTGGGCTTCAAAAAGTTCATGAAAAAATGGAACTGAAAGATAATGGAATTTTTTTTAACTTCATATCTATTTTTCCCACCCATTGCTAACTTCACACTTTTAAAAAATTCACTCAAGCTCATTCGTTTTACATTCTTTATACTCTGCCTATATTTTTCTTTGTGCACATACGTTGCTGTTGTAAGTGCCATCTAGTTGATGCCAACTGAGAGATTCTTTATGGGTTTCCAAGGAGCAGCTGGTAGGTTTGAACTGCTGACCTTGTAGTTTGAAGTCTAATGCTGATCCTAGAGCGCCACACCAGGAGTCCACTCTTTGTGTATAAGTCCAGTGAAATGATTTGCTCTGCCAAAATCATACAGGAAACAATATTTCTGTTTTGAAATCATTGCTGAAAAAACCATACTATTATAGAATGGTGTAAAGATAAGAAAAATAATTTCTGAAAAGGCAAGATCTTAGCTTTTTTTTTTAAGAAAAAGAAATAACATTAACTTACTCAAGAAAATTTTCAAACTATCAGATTTACATTTGAGATTTTGTTTTTTTAATTTCTGTTGTTTTTCTGTTTCATTTATTTCTGTTCTAATTTTTATTATTTCTTTTCTTCTGGTAACTGGTGGCTGGCTTATTTTTCTGCTCTTTTTCTGATTGTTGGAGATGTTGGGTTGAAGTTCTTTAATTTTGGCGATTTCTTGTTTTGGACGTGTGTGTTTAGTTTATTGCTATAAATTGCCCCAGACCACTGCTTTTGTTGTGTTGTATTTTTATTCTTGTTTGATTCAAGGAGACTTTTTATTTTAATTTTTTGTTTCTTCTATTATCCAGTAGTTTTAAAGCAGAGTGTTATTCAATTTCCATGTATTTGATTTTTTTCCTTAATCTTCCTATTGTTGGTTGATTTCTAATTTTATTTCATGTGATCTGAGATGCTTTGTAGTATTCTGATGTTTTTTAAACCTACTGAGGCTTGCTTTGGCCTAACAGATAATCTTTTTTGGAGAATGTTTCATGAGCACTGGAAAAGAATGTATATTTTGATGTAGCTGGGTGAAATGTTCTGTATATGTCTATGAGGTCAAGTTAGTTGATTGTGTTATTAACTTTTCCATGAACTTTTGAAACTTTCTCATAAAATGTTTGAAATTGTTGAGGTCTTACTAAATTATATACTTTCTTTTATATTGTTTTTCAGAATTAAAGCTATAGAGAGTCCCAACAAAGAAGATGATACCCAGTGGCTGACCTATTGGGTAGTGTATGGCGTGTTCAGCATTGCCGAATTCTTCTCTGATATCTTCCTGTCCTGGTTTCCCTTCTACTACATGTTGAAGGTATGCTGGCTTCTCCCGAACATCTAGGTTATTGTTGTTAAGTGCTGTTGAGTCCGTTCAAACTCATAGCAACTCTGTATGGGGTTTCTGAGGAGCAGCTGGTGGGTTTGAACCATTGACCTTGTGGTTTAAAATATGTATTTATTGTTCCTTACCACTAAAATAAGTTCCAACTCAGGGCCTGAATACAAGGAATAGGAATAAATGCTTGGACATGTGGCTTTGAGGCAGAATATAAATAAGAAGGGCAGGATTCCACATGTATAAATTCCTTTGTATCATATGTTGTTGCTGTTAAGTGCTGTTGAGTCTGTTCTGTAGGATTTCTAAGGAGTGACTGATGGGTTTGAACCACTGACCTTGCAGTTGAAACCAATCTTGCAGTCTAGTGTATTATCCTGCAGTGCCACACCTGGATTCCTTTGTATAGTAAACAGCCAAGGCAATTGTGTGTTCAAAATGTGTTTGATAATAATAATGTTATTTTGTGCCATCAAATTGATTTTGACTCAAAGCAACTGTATAACTCATAGCAGAGTAGGACCTGTAGGGTCTGTAGTCTTTACTGAAGCAGACTGCTACATCTTTCTCCCACAGACTGGCTGATGAGTTCCACTGCTAACTGTTTTAGCAGCCAAACACTTAGCCACTGTGCCACCAGGGCCCCTTTTGATAATAAAAAGGAGTGAAAACACTGTGATTTAGCATTACTGTTAGTTAGCCAATATCCTTATCTTCATGCAGTGGTGTCTGCATTTGATGTGGAAACATTCCAGACTCTAACAGCAATTGATTATTCACAGGGGTTGGTAGAAGTCATTGTTTCTAGAAGATGAAATTATTTTTTACATAAGTTTAAAGAAAAGCAATATGACATGGGCTCTATGAGGAAGTTATTTTAGTGACTTTAGCAGGTGCAATAGTCAGAAGTCAGCCCTGCCAAGTTTTTGTGTTTGGCAGAGGATTAGCCTTAGTTATCAACATGTGGGGAAAGGTAACAGGAAGTTTAAACTCATTCCTAATGGCAGCTCTTTGTACTCCTGACCTACACCAGAAGTGAATGAGGATAAAAAGTGCTTACCTTTTAATAGGTGGAGTGGTTCTTTTTCCATAAGTAGAATAAATTGTCTTCAGTTAACACCTCAAGTATGTTCTGTGGAAGAGGCGTTGCTTCCAGTTCATTGCATATGATACACATAATGCCTGACGTTCACAAAGACAGACTTTGAAACTGGACAGGCTGAATGGGGTGATGTGAATTCTGGGTTCTATTCTTTCCCTCTTTTTTTTTTTTAAATAAAAGTTACACATACCATAGTTTAAAGACTCAAATAGATTTGAAAGGTTTTAGAAGAAAAATAACAAATCTGCATCACTGTTTCACTTGTCCCCTCCCCATTTAAACACCTTTTTAAAAATTGAGAGTTTTGTGAAAGTTTACATAGCAAGTTAGGTTCCCATTTGACAATTTTCACACAAATTGTTTGGAGAATTGTTAAGTGCAATCAAGTCAGTTCTGACTCAGCAATCCTGTGTACAACGGAATGAAACACCGCCTGATCCTGTTCCTTCCTCGCAATTGCTGCTACGCTTGAGCCCATTGTTGCTGGCACTGTGCCAGTCCATCTCACTTGGGGGGCAGGGGGTGTCTCCTTGTTTTTTGCTGTCCCTCCATTTTACCAAGCATGATGTCCTGCAGGGACTGGTACCTCCTGATAATATGTCCAAAGTAGGAGAGACAAAGTCTGACATCTTGGCTTATAAGGTGCATTCTGGCTGTACATCTTCCAACACAGATCTGTTGGTTCTTTTGGCAGTTCATGGTACTTTCAATATTTTCTTCCAACACCATGACTCAAATGTATAAGCTCTTGTATGGCCTTTCTTATTCACTGTCCAAATTTCACATGCATATGAGGTTATTGAAAATGCCATAGCTTGGGTCAGGTGAACTGTCATCTTTGCTCTTCAACGCTTTAAAGAGGTCTTGTGAAGCAGATTTGCCTAATGTAATATGTCATTTGATTTCTTGACAGCTACTTCCATGAGTGTTGATGGTGGATCCAGCAAAATGAAGTTTTTAGTTACATTCATTGCAATGTGTCAGCATTTTCTTTAATTGTGTTTAGGTTGGACCCTTTCCAGTTCTCTAGTTTTCTTTCCCCTTTATCAACTCATCTTTACTTTTGAGTAATTTTTGACCTTTTGGTCTCATACTGATAGATTTTTAGTAAGGTACCTATCTTTTGAAAACAAAAATCCTCATCACTGGACCAATAAACAGCATTCTTATCAATGGAGAAGAGATTGAGGTTGTCAAGGACTTCATTCTTCTTGGATCAACTATCAACACTCGC